CCTCCACTCGCTCTTTGGGCGAGAGTTCGGTTTTTAAAGTAACCTGTGTAATTTTTAATATGCACCGAGTGATTATTTTTGAGATTGGTTTCTTGCAGGCAAAGGATTGTTGGTTGATAATTGTATAGAATACGGTTGATGTCAACAGAACGTTTATAAAAACCGTTTATATTCCATTGTATAATTGTGCTCATTATGGTTTAGGAGGATGGATGTTATATTGTTTTATATTGGGGGTAAATGGTTATCCTTTATTATTTTTATATTAACATTATTAACAATTAGTATATTAAGTTTTAGATTATGAACAAAATTCATAAAACTATACAATCCTGAAATATCAGAAGCAGAACAGTCTAGTGGTATTCAGGAAAGCATCCAATTGTAATTTTTTTTTATTATTTTATTGTCAAACTGAACTGACCCCAAGTGGGAAATATGAAACTTTACTAAGGCTTTTAACTAGAGTGAAACACTGTGGTCAATGGAACCCAGTGTCTCATTTAGTCTGGGGGGGAAGTTAAGAACCCCTGAATATTGCATATCTTTTTTCTTACACATATATCTATTATTTCATCGTAATCGTAAAACAGAGTGTGTGGTACAACGCTGCGACCGTGGGATCCGTTGAATAAGGGTTTTTGACACGGGGCATCGTCGCGACAACACACCGGGAGTCAGTCAGTCGTAGTATGACCAGTGTTAGATCAACAATTTGTAGCTATACTTTATAATTTTTTACTGCCAATTAATAATAAATACATTAATTATTTTAGTATTCAATTGGTGCGAACGTATATTTTGTGTTGTGTGTAAAAATCCATAACAAAATATTTATATATAAATATATTGTGTCTCGCAGTCGTCCTGTTCACCGTTGACTTAACATAATATTGTGTGTCGCGATCTCCGTCATGTAACGATCGATCGGCGTATGTAAACTGTAAGTGCCGTCCGCTATCAATTATATTATTATCAATGTTTTGGTTACTAGTCGTTGTGCCGTTGCGTACTTGAAGAACAAACAGCTGACCAGTGGCCTGAATTAATTTGTTACCTGTCATCAGCAATATCCATATTGGTACGGAGCACGGACTAAGATAGTATGGACTGGAAACGAATAGGTTGGTGGGTGATGCGGTACCGGGCCGCTAAAGGTTTGGAGTAGACTAGTGGCAAAAAGTGCGGGGTGGAAATTCCGGAGATGATAGCAACTACGAATTTAGAGCTACCACGGACTAAAATCAAACCATTACTATTCTTTTAAGATAGTACTATCAGTCCGTGTTTATTTTCATTATTTAACATTAATTTTAATTTCAACAATTTGTTGAGAATTTTAAATTTTTTCTTGAAATTGTATAAAGGCCACAGGGAAAAATGATTCTAGTTTTTAAAACGTACGGTAATCAATATACAATATAAATGTATTAAACAAATTTATTTTAATGTTTAAATAATTTGTGATTTATTTATTAACCAAACATATTAGGTACCTATGTCTTAACAAGTTTTGAATTTTTTTTTTTCTTTGCGTTATTTTTTTTTTTTTTTTTGATCATTGTTTAAAACTTTTGTGTATTGACACATCCTCATCTTCACATAATATGATATTATAAAAGTAAGTACTTCCATTTTATGTGTATTACACGGAAGAGTGTTAATTAATTTCAATTTTTTATTAATGAAATCATCCACCATCAATTGAAACACATCATAATCATTACAAAATTGTTTAAATGATTCCTCTATATTTATTAGCAAATTGAATAAAAACATATTTGGATAAATTAATCCTCCTCTAGTTTTAATATTTGTAAATGTTGCCTCGGGTATATCACAAAATGATGTTTGGCTTAAAATCATAATTTTTAGTTAAGGAATTAAATAATCTTACAATTTGTTTATTTCCTGTACTTTACCTAATAGTGCTTTTTGACAAGCCTACACTTAATGTATTTATTAATGTCTTGTAACATATCCACAGATGTAATACAATATGTATGATTATGTATCCGAATTTTAATAGTCATGATTATTAAAACTATTCACTTCAAACAGGGCCGGCGCTACAAATTGCGGGGCTCCGTGCAAAATAGTTGAAATAAAATAATACACGACGATTAATTTTTAATATTTACTCTTTATTTTTTAGTTATATATATATATAAAATAAATGTATAAAATAAAATAATATATTATTATTATTGATTATATATTTTAGAACGATTTTTTTCTTGACTTTTGGCTTGCAAAATCATTTATAAGGGTGTCATAATTTTATTGATAGTTTCAGCTATATCTTTTTCAATGGATATTGTTGAAATTCCAGATAATCTTGTTTGTGACATAGTGCTTCTTAAATAGTTCTTAATTAATTTCAATTTCGAAAATGATCTTTCAGCAGAAGCCGATGTGATAGTTATAGTTAACATTATTCGAGCTACAGTTATGTTTGGAAACGAACCATTTAATTTTTTTAGCATGGAAAGCGATTGAAGTGCAGTAGTGTTTATTTTCACGAGAGATTTAAATATTTGAAGTTCATAATATAACTCATGTAACGTCCCCTCTTCACCTGCGAAGCGCTCTCGCGTTTTCTTACCGATAAAGTTATGTTTTGATTAACGAGGTCTCGAGGACTCGACCTCGGTGTGTAATATTAATATACTAGATCAGGGTTACCTTATTTAAGTAAAGCACAATTGTTAAAATATAACGTATATTTAACAGATAATTTAAGATTATATAATAGAATTAAGGTTACCGATCCTGGTAGATTAACAAGCCATGAGTGTGGATGGTGGATGGCTGCACGGATCGTTTGAGGAGTCTTTTAATCGTCTGTCTGCTCCTGGTGTCGCACACACACTCCTACACTCTCCTACACTACACGTATTCGTCCTTGTTATATACCTTAGACTGCTGCCTAAAAGCCTTAGGTCAGCAATCGGCTCCGCTTGCCATTTCTCACACTCAGCATTTTAACAACGTGTGTCCTACTTAAGGAATAATGTACGATTTCGATAGACGACAATCGTTACACTCATTACCGTCAATATCTTTGACCTCGCTATCCATAAGATATATAATATGAAAATCTTTGCAATTTTTCATTAATTCGTCGTCTTCCATTTCTTTAAGCCTCCCAATGCGAAATAGGAATCCAAATTTTTCATTGTAAATCTTAAATTGATTAAAACGTAAATTTAGAGAACTTGGTGCCTGATCTATAATAATAATAAAAAACGTAGTACGAAATATAGTTTCACCATCAACAGCAAAATTGTCTTCGATTTTATAATTAAACATACGCGCCTTTTTTCGTAATCGGCTTAATTTAAATATCTGTGGAACTTCTGCAGATTTTGCTAAAATATTAGCTTTTTCAAAACCATTTTCCCGGTATTCTTCAAAAAACTCCATAAGCCCTTTTAATAAATTTTATGATAAAGATATATCCGTTTCTATACCTTGTAAACTCTTACTTACAATATTGGTCTTGAGCAAGATATCGTACCAAATTACTGTACTTAGAATAAATTCTAGCAACTTATAGATTTTAATAATGACTGAGACTCACTCTTAAACATTCCGTCAGTAGTAGTGTTAAATAATTCTTTTAATGCATCGGTAAGTTGTTTATATTGGAATCGAATGGCCTTTACGCTTTCTAATCTACTTTCCCATCTTGTTTCTGCCCATTTTTTAACTGTTAACAGGTTACAGTGCTTTTTAAGTATATCCCAGCGTTAAGTTGAAGATGAAAATATTGAATAAATCCTTTCAATTTTCCAAAAAATAATAAAGCTATGGTTGAACTATTTGCTGCATCTTGGATTTTAATTTAGTATACGACTCTGAACTCCTTTATATTGACCAATCATAATTCTACCATAGTCGTAAGCTTGTTCTCTACAATTTTATAAATCAATATCATAATGTTAAAAAACATTGGTTAAACTAAAACCTGTTGTTGACTCAATGTTGACAAAATCCATAAAAAACTCATTTATTTGCGGATCGCACATTTCGTTTTCAAACTCCATATTAACTATACAATAACAATTGAAAGCTGTTCTTGCCTACTTATATCTGGCGTAGTATGCATGATAATGGTATAATATTTAGCTGATTTTATGAGATGAATTATTTTAGTTTTTATTGCAACGGCCATCAATTTAATTTAATTTTCCTGTATATCATGACCAAGATAATGCACATGCGTGTCGTGATTTTTAATTTTATTTAAATGTTCTCCCATAACTGGGTCAAATTTTCCAATCATTTCGATAAGGCCCAAGAACTTTCCATTATTTTTTGTAATTATTACATCTGAAGTACCTCGAAAAGCCTCATTGTGTTTAGCTAAGTAGACAATAGCTGCTATAATCCTTTTTAAAACATTTCTCCAAAGTGTTTTTTTTTTTCAATAATTTCTAAATTAGTTTTATCAATGGTAGACATTTGTTGTATTCTAATTTTTGAATCAAACCACTTTTCTGTGCACCTAAAACGTGTTAAGGATCGTTCATGTTCTACCAGTTTGGTTCCTAAATGACTCTAATCATTTGTGCCATTTCCACTTAAGCTACCATAGACAGAAAGAACAAATAACTTACAACAAAAAAAAAAAAAAATACGTGATCTTTAGATATCGAATATACCAGCCAATTTCTATCAACTATTTCACCATTAGGTTACTTTCTATAGTATAAATTGGTTGAAAATCGTCTATTAATTTCTCTTTCACTCGAAGATGAAATAGTTACACGTGAAGGAAAATTAAAATTAATTATTCTTTTAGGACCTAACTTTACTAGATTTGTTCTTAAATCTTAGCTAATAGATATTGGCCAATTTGCAGGGTCATCGTACATATTGAAATCATTCATAGCAGTGTTTGATAATATTATTTTTGATTCATTTGAAGTTGATTTACAGGATAATATTTCTTGAAATTCAACGGAATTTGATTTTTTAAAATTACTTATTATAGTTTATGGTAACTTAGAATCTTTATTTAACGCTTTTGGAAACTTTAAACAAATGGATGATAATTCCTGTGATTTTTCTCTTTCTAATTCTAGATTTTCTTCCTCGGAGTTAACTTGGGAAATAGTTGAGATTTTATTAGCTAATAATACATCACTCTGACTTTCTAACTTATCATTTTCTTTACTTAAAAATTTAAGAAATTATCCTTGCTGTGTTTTTAAAAAATCTTGTTTTATTTGTTTCTTTTCTCTTTTTTTACATCCCGATTCATATGATCTGAATCTATCCCAATCTCGATTAGATATTATGTTGAATTATACCTAATAATAAATTATATAATATACGTTTTTATTAAAGTTAATATAAGTAAAAATCAGAATGTAAAATAATGATTATTTAACTAAATAATTATTTATATTGTAGTGATTTTAAATATCATTATTATTATTATTTTTAAAATGTTTTTATATTAATTTGTGTTATTGCTGTGGTCTACACGACGCACGGCGATTTTTTATATAACTCGATCTATTTTTATTATATTATTTTGTGTACGTTGTCGGAGTGCGTCGGCCGACAATTCGGACTGACCACGACGACAAATGACAATAGAGATCGATTATAATAATTATGTTTTTTAGTGTGTCCTTTGTCTATCAGTGGTCTAGTAGTCTGTCTGCACTCTTGCCGAGTTGGGCCGGGCGTACAGAATGATTATAAATATACTCTTATTATTTTAATTTAATTTAATTGTTTTATTCTTTAAAACATTCTGACATAAAATGAAGTGACCACTCTCCCATCAATATTAAATATTAATAAGTGTCATAAACTCATAAATAGACTCCAGATTACATAAAAAAATATAATAAGAATGTTTACTTTTTAAATAATTTAAAATGCAATACATTTATTTGTTGTTGTATAAACTAAATAAATTAAATCATAATATTAATAATAAAAAAGTTATTTACCTATAGTGACTGCCAGTTATTAATATATTATAATATTATTCGCGTGTCTCTACACTTGTAATGCGTGTGCGCAAAAGATAGATAAATCATAAATTCTTAAATATTAGTAGACACGAGTAAGTAATGAGATATAAAAATAATATTATCAACATAATCTATTTATACTCTTCAGTTAACACGTTGAGTGCCTCGTAGTATTTGGCGCGCGTTGCCCGAGAATCCGCGCGAAATCGGTCCCGCAATTACGTCGGTCGACTATGTGTCGACGTCGGCCCCCAGAGCAATACCTTCTGTTTTTTTCAACATACGTAATTCTTATTATTATTTTTCAGTATTTGAATTATGAATACAATATACTATTATGTTTAGAATATTATAAAATAAAGTACACTTCAAATGCTACTCACTTTTTTTAATAAAACATTTTTTTTTTTTATAAAAGTACCTAAGTGTAAAAAATAAAATACATAAAAAAAATCAAAAAAAAATTATAATGCCATTTGTAATTGCTCAGTATTTAATTAATTTTACTTTGTAATAATAATTAAACGTATACTTAATACAATACGTTACTCATAAAATAGTTAATACAATAAAACTAAAATTATATAATAAAATTTAAAATGCAATATCTATAATATTATGTTGCTTATCTAAAAACAATTTTTTATGTGGTTAATAACAATCGGAATAACAATGAAATTACTTACATTTTGCTATGATATTCTTCAAAACAGAGTTCTAAACATAATCCCGGCTGATCTTCACACTTATTGCAATAATAAATGGTTTCTGTTCTTTTCCCCTTAGCGGCACAAATTCGACATCTTTTACGAATATACCTGTTTTTACGATTTTTGTCTACTTTGATAGGAAGATGCTTTTGTGGTAATAGTGAACATGGTAGTCGTACTGTGTCTTTATTAGAAGAAATCAAACTATTGATGACTGATATTCGAAAATCATAATATGATATTTTTTTGACATTTTTACAATACAGCAAAAAAAAATTTAGCAAAGTTTTTTGCAAAAAATGTATTGCGATTTTTTTATACCATCTCAAAGTTTTCCTTTCGCAAGGGTAATACGACATCATTTGATCTTGCCGATCAATACCAGACATAAACTTATTGTATTCCGAAATCGGCAAGGGTTTCAATTTAGATTGACCATATTTATTATGTACTTCTACCATTTCATTTTTGAACTCAGAACTTATAGCCAGGACTTCCCTTTTGTCTTTCCATTTGACTATACACACACCACCTTTTGTATATTTACAAACACTTTCTCCAGTTTTGAGTTTTTTTGAAATAACTTCTTTTGGATCAATTTTTCGGTTGTTTCTAAGAGTTCCTGTACAATATGTCTTACGCTGTAATAATGTGTGTGCTAAACTACTGCTGTTGTAATAGTTATCCATAAAGAGTGAGTGACCTTTGTCTAAATGGTTTTCCATCAGTCTATAAACAACATGCTCTGTATGACTTTTTTCAAGTGTACTATCGGTACCTTGCCTAGAATAAATAAGTATATCTAAAACGAGTCCGTTAGGTTAAGTCAACATATAAAGTTTTATTCCGTATTTGTGGCGTTTATTTTTTATAAATTGACGGAAAATTAATCGGCCACGCCAAAGGACCATTGACTTGTCCAAGGATAATTGTTTAGATGGTTGATATACTTCAAGCATACAATTTTTGAAATATTCTACAACTGTGTCAATTTTATATAACCAACTAGGTTTAGAAACTCCAGCTCCACATTCAGGGTTGCGACTAAAATGTAACGCATGCATTATCAGCATGTACCTTTTTCTACTCATAACTTCACGAAAGCAGTTTAAATTAAAAAGTTTATCAGTTTTCCAATAATCAGTCAATCGTGGCATTTTTATCGTGCCTGTATGAAAAACTAATTCAAAAAAAGCTTTTAGTTCATTTTTGGTAAGTTCGATCCATTTTGAGATACGAGATTTATTACTGGACCTAGTCAAGTATAATTCAGCTGCATAATTATTCGTTTCCTCAAGGACGAAGTCATAAAAATCATCGGTCACTAGTAGGTCAAAAAAATCTATTGGTTTGTCACCATTGGGATTTATTTTTAATCCGGTATTTTCTTTGAAAACAATCCCACATAGCAATTGAAAAATATTAATATTTTGAAAATATTTGAACAAGGTTTTCCTTCAAATATTCAATTTTAAATATTTAAAAAAAAATTATCATAATGTTTTCTCAACAATGTTTTCCTGTAATACATTGCTAGAACATTTTCAAAATATTCATATGACAATATTTTATAACCATTTATGGTGTAATATTGTGAAAATGTATGTCCACAAAATATTTTCAACCTTACCTTGTGGATATATTTTCAAAACATTTATAGTTCAATATTTTATCATCATATGTGGTGTAATATTGTGAAAATGTATGTTAATAAAATATTTTTAACCTTATTTTGTGAATATATTTTTAAAACATTCATAGTTCAATATTGTATTATTCTCTATGATGTAATGTTATGAAAGTGTATGTCAAATTGTCAATTAATAAATTTAATTTATGTTAATTATTATAATATTAACATTATTATTAATATTAATATTATCAACCACGGTATATTATATTATATTATATTATATTGTCAATTCATATATATACATATTATATATTTATACATTAATGCATTAAATATTAATGCACCATTATGATGACAAAGTATATCCACATATTATAATTTATTCCGAGTTAGTTGAGAAGAATAAATTGTGTATCACTTTTATATATAGTTTATATTATATAGATATATATTGTAGATTATATATAATATAACACAATGTTAAAAAAATATAGTATGTTGTAGGACTACCTCTAATCTATATAATAAAATAATATATTCAAAATCAATAGTTAAAAACAAATGATCATTGATCACTAATCATAATCATTGTTCATCATTGATATTATCAGTTACATAATTTATATTAAATTTATTATATCATTGGGAAAAATATGCGACTAATCGCTTGCGCATCCGCATTAAAGCCTACATAACTGGCGACTTGTCGCTAACATATTTACAACAAAATATTGAGTTGTGGCTCCATCCATAATATATTATTGTATAATATTATGATTTATTATAATTATATTATCTTAGTCCAAGGCACGATTAAAGATATATTTATATATCTTAGTCCGTGTCCGTGTCCGTGTTTCAAGGTATTGTTATCACACTCTTCGCCGAAAAACTTTTCTGCGATAAACCGGTACGAAACGTTTCGTATTTTCTCGTATCGCTCTATACGTTGTTATCACATTATTTTGAAATGGATTAATGTTATTTTTATTATTTAACTAGCGCCGGTGAAACTCGCTGTATGTGAATACCCTAGGTCGGTAAAACTAGCTGTATGTGAATACCCTAGGTCGGTAAAACTCGCTGTATGTGAATATCCTAGGTAGCTGAAAATCGTTTGAAGTGAATTTCCTAGGTCGGAGACAGGACTTATGAATACCGCAGTTATATTGAGGCCGCCGAGAGAACGCTACTGGGCAGCGACCAAAATTCCTCCGTTCTCGCGCATTCCCACCATTAAACCTTCTAAAACGCTGGCCGCCGTTAATTCTGGCCGCCGACGCTGTCGTCGCCACCGTCGCGCAGCTGCTGCCGCCTACCGACGCCGCCGCCGACCGGGAAACGGTGACAGTGTTTGTATACAGAGCGTATCATAGTGTTTTCGATATTCTATGTTATTGAATACATACACGATACACAACATTTTTGTTTTTTTCGGGAACACAATTTTCGCTTTTTCTATCAAACCGCCATTTTTATTTTTTACGTTTAAAAACCTAACAACATGGACGACGAACATGTAACTGTATCTCCAGCTAAAAAAAATCCAAAAGGAAAAGTAAGTGTTTCTATTACTATTTTCCTATTGAATATTTTTAATTTTTAAATATATATTTTTTCTTAAGTTTATTGGCACTGGTCAAAAAATTCACAATTTTTGGAGGAACCGTGAAGTACCCACAATTAAAAAAATGTTGGTAGCCATTAATGAGGATGAAGAATTGCCTAATATGAAACGTACGTCATTCCAGGCAGTATTAAAAGATTTACAATTTGAATACGTGAAAAAAAATCGTAATAGTGCACTTCTCGAAAGAGAAGATATAATAACTTGGCGCCGAAGTTTTTTAACCAAAATACAGCATAACAGAACACAAAACAGACCGATATACTATTTAGATGAAACATGGGTCAACGCTGGCGAAACACATAGTAGAAAGTGGGTCGATACGACGGTGACATCATCACGTGGAGCATTTCTTGAAGGCCTAACAACAGGACAAAAAGAACCCTCCGGGAAAGGTAAGCGTCTCATCGTTTTACACATCGGGTCGACAGATGGCTTTGTCTCGGGAGGCCTTTTATGTTTCGAATCGAAAACAAATTCATCAGACTACCACGACGAGATGAATGGAGATACATTCTATGAATGGTTTGTACGTATTCTGCCGTTATTAAAAGAAAATGCCATAATTGTGATGGACAATGCCTCGTATCACTCGGTGAAGAAATGTAAAATACCAAATATGTCTTGGAAAAAACAAGAAATCGTAGATTGGCTTGAGTGTAGAGGTGAGATTGTTATCCATCCGACGTGTAAAAATGATTTAATGAATAAAGTGAGACAATTAAAAGATACATACGACAAATACGTCATTGACGAATACGCGAAAGACAATAAAAAACTCGTATTGCGATTACCGCCATACCATTGCGAGCAAAATCCTATAGAGCTCGCGTGGTCATCGGTAAAAAGTTATGTCCGGACACACAACAACACATTTAAAATAAAGGACGTACTTGAGCTACTAAAAAAAGGGGTGGAACATGTAACACCAGAAATGTGGACCAATTTTGTTGGACATGCTATAAAGGAGGAAGACAAGTTTATGAACCTTGAACATTTAAGTGATGAAGTAATGGACGGACAACCCGACGAAGAAGAACGTCATATCCTTACCATAGGAACAGGTGATACAAGTTCTTCGGATGTAGACTCAGATTGATTTCTTGTGCCTATTTAAATTATTTTGTATTTTTATATTTGTTTTTGTTTTTTTTTCTTAATGCATATTAAAATGTAATGTAATGTACAATTACTAATTTTTGTTAGAATAACTACATAAATGCATAAATAAAATACTGATGTTATATACATATTATTTGTATTGTTTTTGTATACACAATAGGTACGCCTGACACCAGGTATTATTTTTTTCATAGTGTGTTGCTTGAGCCGGTGTATACAACCACCGTTTACTGCTAAGCGGCGGCGGCTGTGGGATTAGCCACCGATCGCTGCGTACTGAGTAGGGGAATTTACGGCGGCGACTAGGTGGTAGAGTGGGAGAAATTTAGGTACGATACTGCGGAGCTCGATCATTTGGATGCGCGAGCGAGTAGCGTTCTCTCGGCGGCCTCAGTATAGAAAAGTCTAGTAGGCGAAACCAGTGATAACGACGTTTGAGACGTTGGTACCTCTGATTTGGTGGTTTTACACTTTAGCGGTGTCGTTTTAAACGCGTAAATAATAATCTTATAATATAATAAAAGTATATAAAAGTCCAATTCGAACGTTTAGTGGTGGGTTATTTCATTAAATTTACAGGTGTAATACACCTTGTCCCGTAGCTTGCCCTGTGCTTTTGTGCATGGAAAATAAATAAATACATTCCGAAAAGATAATTAAGTATCTAGGTATCAGTCATCGCCCGGTACGGTGAAAGTCGATACCTGACAGGGCAATCCGATTTCGGCGGATTGGATGAATTTCCCGTGGCTCGCCCGATGCTTTTGAGTATGGAAAATAAATAAATACACTCCAAAACGGTTATCAAGTGTCTAGTTATCAGTCATCATCCAGTGAATATCGATTCCTGACAGGGCAATCCGACTGCGGCAGATTGTCATACCTCCTGACGTCGAATGCGTTGTGCTGTTTAGTACGCAAAAAAGTTTAAGTCGAATCGAGCGCTCGATTTTTTAAGCAATCACCATTGAAAATCCAGTTAAACGCGTTTGAACCTACCAGGACTGCGTCGGATCGCGGACGATTTGGCGTAAAGGAGAAATATTAAACGTATTATGGAAAATGCATGTCAAACGTTAGCGAGTTAAAGATCAAAAACCTATACATAATTAATATTTTTTTTGATATTTTATAGATGGTTAGATATCGAAAAGAAATATTATACACTTTCTGTGATGACAAAATATTTAATGTGCAACTGTTTTTCCCCTGTATCTTTCATATGTAAACAACTGAAAGGCTAAACATATAAAATAATGAATTCACCGTCAAAACTGAGTGAAACAACTGTATTGTCATCAATAGAATGTCCTCAGGCTATAATATAAATTGCATATCACATAATATGTACATTTGAATTGTGCAGACTGTTAGCAATAACTATAATTGGTTATTACTTATTATTTTTAATTAAGTATATATAATATAATAATCTATCTTAAATCTATTTTAAAAATGAATAATTGAATACTATTGTGTGATTTAATGTTCGTGTAAAGTATATTGTAATATAATATATTTTGACATCATCAATCGAGCAATATAAAATTAAACGTGTGAGATTGGATATCAAAACGAAAACGGCAATTAATAACGATCGAATTAAATGAGAAAAAAAATGCAAAAAATCCGATATACACGGTTTCTTATGGAGCCGCCCGAATATCGCCGGAACGGGAATCGAACCTGCCTACCTAACGTCGGGGAACCTTTCCTAACATCAAACCGTAAATCGCACGTTTATTGTCATTTAGAGTGTTTCCGACGTATTCATTACATTATTAGTTTATTATCACATACACACATCTCGATATCGCCCCAAACGTACGCGATCAAAGGCATTACAACGACCGGAGAACAACGATTTTGCGATGTTTTTGTATAATACACATAAGGATCTGGTCATATCTGACGTACGTCATGGACGGTGCGCACGTTTCTTTTTTATACACATAATCGTATTTCGTACGCTATCGAGACGATGAGGTCGCGGAGGCGTCAGAGGGCAGAGACACCGAAAACAAATAAACGCGTATTCGATAGGGATAAACGATTTACCGTATAGTAAAAAAAAACAAAAAAACAATAGTACATACGTGACGACACGATAAACGACCGGAGAACGCGTTTTCCGGACGCGATGGCGACGGCCGCGAACGGAATTCGGGGACGCGTAAAAGGCGAAACCGATTCGGGCGGAGAGAAAAACCGGAGAAAAACGGGCGACGTCCGTCTCCACGAAGGACGCGGCCGAGGACTGAATCCAAACGAAAAACGCGCGCGGACGGGACGAAAAAAACCCGCTCTCGGCCTAGCGTCGACCTAGCGTCGAGAACGCGACGGAAAAAGGTCGCTAAAGACCGGAAATCGGGCGAAAAGCGGAAAAAACTGTATAAGAAAAACAAACAATAACGACGGCGGCGGGAGATAACGATAACGATAACGGCGCGCGCAAGAGATATCAGATAAGAAAGACGATAAGAAAAAATTTAATTTACGCGAACAAAGTAAATTATTTTATCAGAAATATTTTCTTCTGTATTCATTTTTACCATAACCAATAAATATATTTGAATATAAGCACCAACTCATGTTACTTAGAGAACTTCTCTGTAGACAATGTTTTTGGTGACAATTCTACCACGATCGTCACCACACATACCAATTTTAATTGATTGCGAGTCTCTCACGCATGAAAACGCTACGTACAATTGTCCGTGCGTGAACACCGGTGAAGGTAGAAGCAATCCAACTTTATCAAAAGTTTGACCCTGTGACTTGTTAATGGTCATCGCAACTCTACTCGTCGCATTATGACTGGCAGGTCATCTTCTCCATTTGACGTGAGCGGTATTGCAGGTATGACTATGTCTTCCTGTGCATTACCAGATAACATTCTCGCTTTAAAGTTGTATCGTCGCAGTTCAGTGACTACCAACCTCATGCCGTTGCAAAGTCGCCTCTGTGAATCTAGATTTCTCAGCAACAAGACGATCGAAACGACTTTCAGAGTCAAGTTGTACGGTGGCAATCCATCCGGTTCTAGAGTGTTGAGGAACTCTGTAGGATAATTGGCCACTTCGTCAGTGTCGTCGACCACCACAGTGTCGATGGCAGTGTAGCTCCTGTGTGCACCGTCGATGCGTTGAAGCACCGTGCAATTGACTTGTCTGCATTCATCGTTCCTAGGACATAAAATTATTTTCCGAGAAAACTCGTCGACATTAGCCAACGACAATTGCTGCGGAAAAACAAAATCAATCAAATCAGCAACATCACATATCATATCTCGCGGTATTCGACGGTGTCCGGAACACCGTCGACCGTTAGCAACCGACCGCTCCCTAGCTGAAGCAACCAATTCGCGAAATTTACGTCGTTGTCGGCTCGCATGTTTCGTGTCAGATTGAACTGTTCCAATTCGTTCCACAGAGAGTTATACTTGATCGACGACCTGACAATGTCCCTCCTCGTTCTTCTGCGTACAACCGGTAATATCTGTCTGAAGTCGCCGTCGAACAGGACTGGTTTACCGCCAAACGGTAACTCCGATCCCATGGCGTCCTTGAGCAACCGATTGATCACCGTGAGTTGTAGTCCCGGAGACATAGGCGCTTCGTCCCAGACGATGAGTGCTGCGTCACGTATCCTTTGAGCACGTGACGACTGCATGGCGATGGACGACGTCGAATCGTCCGTGAGCGTGCCGAACGGTAATCCGAACGTCGAGTGCACAGTCATGCCGCCATCAATGAGCGACGCTGCGATTCCTGTGAATGCCACGGACAACACGGAACGCTTTTGGCTGCGAAGCGACCATATCAGGCATCCGTAAAGCGTCGTTTTCC